CATCCTTCTTTACATATGTCACTCTAGGAAAACTGCCAAGAGGGGCTCACTACTCTAGACATACTTCCTACAGAGCCTCCAGACTCCTCCTCAAACACTTATCAGTGTTCTCCTCATTCTCCCTGAGTTTCAATCCTCCTTTTGCGCCAAGATTTCCAAGTCTGTATTTTATATTCTCAAAAATATACAAGCAGTATTATAAGGACATCCTATTTATCAGAACCAGTGTCTCAGATCTGAACAAACCTCCTAAAGCTTTATATAGTATTTCTCACTTTAATAATGAAAATTCCAATAGGTTGTATTACTGAAACAAATTTTCTTGGCAAATAAAGAATTTGTCAAGATAAAAAAAATTAGATAGCAAATTTATTTTTTAATATTTAAGGAGTACAATTGTTTCCTTTCTCCCTAGCCCTATCAAGGAAACATGTATCAGAGTTCAGAAACTGAGAATTCAAGAGCCATTCTGTGGAAATCACAATCTTTCAAACATAAGAGATATGTTTTGGCAAGCTCAAAATAAAATGCAGGTTTTCAAGTACTCTACTAAATAAACAAGCCTGGGTGGCTCAGTGGGTTAAGTGTCGGACTCTTGGTTTCAGCTCAGGTCATCATCTCACAGTTTATTAGAGCCCCACGTCGGACTCTGCACTGACAGTGTAGAGACTGCTTGGGATTTGTCTTCCTCGCTCTCTCTGCCCCTCCCCCACGGACTCTCTCTCTCAAAAAAATAATAACCTTTTAAAAAAATAAACAACTTTTTTTTTTAAAGGGATCTTAAAGGGATCCCTTTAAGGGTTTTTTTGTTTTTTGTTTTTTGTTTTTTTTGCGATAAAAAGGGATCTTTTCCCAACGGGTCTTTTCTGATAAAAGTACTTCTCTCAGCAAACTGAAAACCAGACATAAGTTTCTGCACCTTTACACTACTAAATTTTCAGGCACCAACATTCCCATTTGGGTTTATTGTATGGGTAGTTAAAGGCTAGAAACAAAGAGCAGATCAGAAGCTATTTCTAAAAGAGGATTAAATGCTACTGAAATAGAAAATAAACTTAATTAACTAGTGTTAATTGAACTTCTTTTCTAAATCATTTACTTGAATTTTCTTTGATATGTGAAATTAAGTCTCACTAAATTGTAGTCAGGAACACACAGTTTCTTTGGGATTTAAAAACCACCATTTATTCATCTACAGATTAATAAATCTCACTATAAAATGAATTGAGCAATCAGAGCTATTCATAGGTAAGTGTGATTAGATTATGGATGAATAAGAAGTCAACTGAATAAAGTCCATTTATTAAAAAGCAAGCAATCAAACCGGTCAATGTTCACAATTATGAAGAGTGAGCTTTTATATTTTTCCCATCCTCAATTATTAAGATTTTACATTCCTCCATCAATTAGTAACGATTGAATGATCTATACAAATGTGCCCACCAACTGCACAATGACTTAAAGAACAACCATTTTGATGGTAGGGATACTCCATTTAATGCAATGCAAGGAATTCAAAAGCTTTCATCCTTGGAACCTTTGTTACAAAAGTCAGTAAATTTCTTTTGTGAAAAGATTGCTTATTATTTTCAATTCAAATGTATAATGATTATATGTTTTGTAGTCTTCTAAAGAAAAATAGAAATTTTAATGAAATATAAAAATCTGAGATCATTTTTGAGAGAGAAAAAATTATGTAAAGATCCAACTGCAAAGCTACACCAAGAAGTTTCTTCACAATTTCATCAAACGTTAATGAAAGGGCTACATAAATTCCCAAAAAATTTTAAAGAGCGCTGCAAGAATCTCTCAGTTTTCCATACTGCTTTCTCTCTCCTGTATCCACTAAAAATCATTTAAATCATCTCTTCCTAAATATAAACCATCTAGGTTTTTACAGAAGAAAAAGCAAACCAAGAATACACATATTCTTAATATAGCTTTAAAAAGGTATTGGAGATTGCATTTAGGTCCCTCAAACAAGTTAAATTTACATATGCCACATCCCGTTGATTCTCAAGGGTGAAAATCATCAAAACAAAAGCTCCTGCTTAATAAACTATTTGCTTTGTAGTTAAGCCTCTATCCCAGGTGCATTTTACTGTAGATTATCACTTTCTTCTCTCTTCAAAAACCTAGAAATCTAAAATACACAAGTATATCTGATTCCCTTAAAAATGCTTTCATATTAGGGGGCTCCTGAATGGCTCAGTTGGTTTAGCTCAGGTCATGATCAATTCCAAGGTCCCATAGGGCTCCACACTGACAGCAGGGAATCTGCTTGGGATTCTCTCTCTCCCCCTCCCATGTTCACGGGTGCACTCTTGCTCACGCGCTCTCACTCCCTCTCTCTCAAAATAAACTTTAAAAATGCTTTTATATGTTTTAGTTTATATGTTTTAATAGTGTAAGGCCATAAGAAGCCTGAAATTACTTTCACCCTCTTAAGAAACACTACTTTGCTTTTCTTCTTTGAAATGTGTCTTATTTGGCTTTTACTTGTTTTCTATACATGAACTGTTCTCAAACCAGTCCATTTCAGTGTTAGTTGTTTACTGCCAATATGTCTGTGTATACTTAGGTTTTTTACAGACAATGCTTTACCATACGGTGGTATAAAAAGAAAGGGTAAACAAGAGGGCACAAGTGAAACACCACTCAATTTCATTTCTCTGACTCAAATTTCCTTAAGTCCTCATGCCAAAGAATCTCAATATCTAAAAAGAGGCACGACGCAATATATGATCAGGCAAACACAGGAGAAACCAAATCAGAAGCTAAAGAAATTTAACAAAATATACAACAACCTGAGACAGGATTACAAGGAAAAGAAAAATAACTAATAAATTCAGTCCCTAGAAATCCCTACTGAAGGGCTACTTTTGCTGCACTGCATGGCTCAAAAACGGTTTTTCAAACTCTTTCAACTATAAGTAATAGATTTTACATTGTGACCTAGTACACACAAGAGAAAAAATTCCCAAAACAATATTTTTCTTCACCAAATGCAATAATAGTCAATTCTGTTCTATTTCATTTTATTTTCAATGCTGGTGGTAACCCACTAAACTGACTTTATAAATTGTTAATAAACCATGATCCACAATTTGAGAAAGATACGGCTTAATAGAGGATATCCCTTATATTTGGATCATTTCTCCAATCTGCCTCTACTTGTCTCGTAGACAGATAGTTTAAACATTATTACTGTTTTCACTGAAGCAAGTGGTTTTTAAAGTGGGAATCCTCTGACCAACATAAGCATCACCTGAGATAAATGCAAATGCTCAGGACCCACCCCAGATGTACTGAATCAGAATCAGAAACTGGCCAGCAGTCTGTATTTTACCAAGCCCTCCAGGTGATTCTGGCGCAAGCCTAAAGTTCGACAATCACAGCATTAAAAAAATTCTGGTCTTTAACCTCTATTTAACAATCCAGTCAGTAAGTACCCACTGCTTACTCGGTGCCAGCCACTATTCTAAAAGTTATACAAATATTAACTTATGTGAAAAAACAAACCTATGAAATAGAGACTATTATTATCACTATTGTACAGATTAGGAAACTTGCACAGAGAGAGAGATTAAATTGTCCAAGCTAAGTGGTGGAATTTATTTAAAATTGCCCAGGGTATATCTATCCTTTCATGACTCCACTCTTTCCGATCAAGTCCCCAGTCCTATTCCCTTAGTTTCAGCTACTCCTCACCTCCCCTTCTTCCTTTCAAATTCCCCATCCTGTCAATGTCCTCATTTTCTAATATTATTGGTGTCATCATAAAACAAAACTTTTTTTCTAAACCACTAGAATGCAAGTCACTTAACCCTGCTTTTAGGATGCTCTTCTCTTCCATCTTAGTATTATGAAGCCGAAGTTTCTTCTACGTCTTAAGTCCTTAGAATCTACTATGACCACACCGTTAATTTCTCATATCTGCCGTTATGGCCAGTTTCCACAAGACCACCATTCTCTTTCAGAGCAACTTTCTCGCACCCTCCTACTGCGTCCTATCTACGCCCTATGTACTTCGCGCTTCCTACAAGGAAATTATTTCTCCCCGCCCACCCCGTGTCATTTTGCTTGACTCCTCTCCAACTGAGAGAACTTCCACTCCCCGGAAGACCACCTCACCCCAGTCTCAAATCCGAACTACTCCTTGAGGACCCTTGGTCCCCGGTGGATTCTCAGACCCAGGAGCTCCCAGTCCAGTCTTGGGTCTCCCATCCCTGACCAGCGGTGGGGGGAGGGAGCTCCCGTTCCTCCCCAGCTGTTCAAGGTTTCCACAGGTCCCACCCTCCTAAGACCCGCTTCTCCTAGACTCCCCCGGAGTCCTCCACCCTCGGACACCGCCTTTCTCAGGAGAGTCCCCACCACCACCCCCTCTGCCTTTCCTCGACGCCCCCTCGCTCAGACCCAAGCCGCTCACAGTCACCCCGGACCCCCGCCGTCCTCGGTCTCTCTCCTCCCTCGGACCCGGGCCACTCCCAGTTTCCCGGCCCCCCAGCTTTCTCCGCTTGGGCCGCTCCTGGGTTTCCCGGGTTCCTGTGCTCTCTTCCTTCGCACCCAAGCTGTCCTGGGAGTGTATTCCGAGTCACCCGGTCCTCGGACCAGGTCGCTGCCGGTCACCCCAGGTCATCCCCCCTCTCTGGGACCCCGTCCCCTCCCGTCTCCTCAGGGAACTTACCCCTCACACACCGGCCGCTGGTCAGTGCTCAAGCAGCAGGACGTCCCAAGGGACCTCCCGGCATGAACCGCTTGAGTCTGGCCCCAGCCTATCTTGCCAATGCGAACTCCGCCGCCGGGAACCGGGCCATTCTCCCACCAGCCCAGACAGAGCGAACTCGCCGCAGCCGCAGCCGCCGCCGCCGCCCTGGCTCCGGCCCGACCCGGCCCACAGTCCAGGCCCCCTTCCTCCGGCCTCCGCCTCCGGAGCTCCGAGCTGGAGTTTCCGCCCCGCGACGGCCCCCAGACCTCAGACCCCCGCTACCGGCACTCACCTGCCGCTGCCCGCAACCAACTCCAGCGCCACTGCCTCTACCTCGGCCGCCAGTAGCCACCAAGCGCCACCACCTCCCCCATGACAACAGTCCCACCCCGTTTCATAGTTCCTACCTCCCCATTGGATAGTGGGGCGGCGGTTCTCTACTCTGATTGGTTTTCCTTACCCGTCTGTCATAGCTTCCTCACCGCCCCTTTTCCTGGACCCAGTATTAGCCCCCGCCCGGACCCAGAGCGCCTGGACCAAGCTTTAGTTGTAATTGGTCAATGGTAGGGCAGTTCGAAGTTATGATAGGCTACCGAAAATGTCTGTTAAGCCAACTGGTAAGGGATGTAGCTCCAGGGTTGGTTCAAGCTTGGGCACAGTTTGGTTGCGCAGTAGTAAGCAAGGAAGGAGTCGTGCTCGCCACCGAGTTACCGGGTAAGGGTTAACTCTTTGTTGTAGAGTTCATTCTGTAAACTCATCCTTTCTCCAGTTCCCTCCCTATTAGAAGTTTATCACTGATAGTTTATAGGGTAGTACTTACAAAATACCAACATCAAAGGTGTGTTTAAGGAGTGTTTTCCAACTCTTTGGGAGAAAAGCACTTATACAGATAAAAATGTCCTCTTCTTGAAGTCTCAACGCACCCAATTTCCTTGAAGTTCTTTCCAGAAGTCTCCATGCTAAAGTGCAAAGGACAACCATTTATTTAGTAGAAATCAGCCCACTTTGGTTGCAATTATAACGTTGCTAATAAACTCAAGTGGCATTTTAAGAGTTCTCCAGACTCACCCCTGGCTGGCCCCTGCCAAGTGACCAAGCAGCCATCAGCAAGTTTGGACGAAACCAGCCACATTTACCCTTGTGATGCTCTGGAAATGAGAAATACATTCCCCCCACCCACCCCACCTCCACCTTCTCCCACCTTGATTTTTATGTTCGGCACTTCATAAATAGCCCTACTAGATGTGTGTCAGATATTTGAAAAGCTTGTCTTTTCCTAGCAGTCTAAATTAGGACCATTGAATGAATTGCAGTTCTTTTCTCACATTGGCACAATGCACGAGAATAAATGATTGCATTTTTTTATTCATTTGCGTACAAGGCACAGTTATGCATTTTTGAGAAATCTGGTGTTGCTATAAAAACTCTTGTGCTCCTAGAAATGTATCCATCCTTAGATTTTGCTTTTCTTTTTCATTTCCACCCACTTTTCCTGCTCCTAAATAACAAAATGTTGGCCTGATTACTCTTTATATTTCTAAGTCAGATTTAAATATACCTTTCTAACAACTCTACCTATAATACACAAACCCATGGACCATGAAACAAACCAGAGATGGATTGGGGCAGGTCAAGGAGACATCCCTCACAAGCATTACCTTACGGTTGGGAACTTCCTGTGAGACTGGGAATCTGGACTTTAGAAATTGCGTGCTTTACCCCTTTCTTCTTCCTGCTAACTCTTTGTCCCATATCTCTTCTATTCACCTCCCTGTCCTTTGCAGAGCAAGCTACAGATAGTCTAAAACTGTACTGTTTGTTATCTAGTAAAAAAAAAAATTGTCTCTTTTTTTGGTTATATTTTTAGTCAACTTTGAATAAACTACATATTACCAAACTAAGTGGAAATTATTCCTCCATTAACTATAACAATAAGGTGTCTTTTCCTAGTTATTTTCTGGAACTTTCCTCCCCCTTCCCTCATCCTCACCTTCCAATTTGGAAATAACCTCCCCTTCAATTCAATGACTCATAAAAAGCCTGTAAAAGGAAAGTGGAAAAGTCAAAATAACTTCAGAGATGTCTGAATCATTCAGTTGAAGGAAAGATCAGACATTGACCATGATAAGATGGGAGCCAAGACATAAGGCAAGCCTGAGCTAACATCCATAACAAATGAAGTAACATGCAAATATGAAGATTCCCCAATGAGAAGGAGGTATCAGTATATCCTTTACACAACCTTTTAATATATTACCAGCAGCTTTCTTCTCTCTAGTCTTGGCTGTGTGCCCTACCCACCAATTTTAGAGCAAGTTCGAAGGCAATTAATGTCCTGGCAGATAGGAAACAATAACGTCAGAGGAGGGCACGGGCATTATTATGGTACTTGGGGTAATAATGGCTCTTGTACAGCCATAGTGATTTGGTGCCATAGAGAACATAGAATTAGGCCAGCCTCACTAAGAGGACTTGCCATCTAAGTCCAGGAACTCAACGAAATTACTATCACAAAACAAGGAATACTGCCACAAAGGTCAGCTATTCATTCTAGTCCATGAAAACAAAGTATTCATAAATGTTTTCACTCATACATGCATATATACACTTTTACCACTCCTGTTCCTTGTGAAAATCAATTAAGAAAAAAAAAAGTAAAATAAATATGTTCAGCCCAGTAAGAAAAGAAAAAATCTTTAAGGAACATTCTTTGATCCAACAGAAGGCTATTTATTGTGTTCTTAAAGTCCATGCAGTACTAGGAAGTTTATTGCTTGTACCCCACATTTTTATTTTGCATGAACCTTATCACATAATTACTTCATCCAGCCTCCCTTTTCTTTTCTGTGTTATGTCTTCGCCGCTGTTAAGACCCCATCTTAGAAAGCAAGAGCACTGGAGTCGGGGCGTCTGCAGCTTTGTGTTGTGTTGCTGGCTGTGGAGGTGGTACAGATGCTATCTGTTCAGAGGCACTTGAGCAAGACCAGGATAGCAGGTATATTAAAGGCAAAAAATAGCCTTTATAAATCCTGATTAAGTAGAAAATGAAGGACTTGCAGTGATGTCCTGATGTCTAAGGAGCAGCATAGTTTGCCTTGGGCTTCAGTGAATGCTGATGCTACTTTCTGCTCTCTTTTCAAGGGAGCAGAATCCAGGTTTCCTTTCATTTCTATTTTAGTCTGGGGTGGGGGCAATCTCACTAGGGAAGAGCTCCTTTTTTGTTTGTTTATTTTTGGATTCCCTCCTAACTCTGGATTCTATACACAATTCCAAATGGATTAGGGAGACAAACAACTGGTGGAGAAGAAAATCATTCTGATAGTAGACAAGAGCCAGAGCTGCCTGTTTCTAGCAGTTGGAAGCAAGCCAAGATATCTGATAAGTGGTAGTTCCCTGAGTCAGGGATCCCTGAAGACGGAGACTGACTGGATGAAGGGATTAGAGAGGAGGGGTTGGGATGGGGGTGGGAGGCTGGGGGAAGGCCAGCAAAGAGAGTAAGGGAAGCTAGACAGAGTCAAGAGGCCACAGAGTTCTGAGCCAGCTTAGAGTCCTACCCCCATCTCCCTGGGTATGGACTTTATACTAGGTTGCTCAATTATAGCAACACAGTGTAGCCTCTGTCGCTGATTGAAAGGAGAACCATGCCAGAACTTTACCCTATGGGATCTTTGCTCTACTGCCACCTGGAAATCCTCCCTGAGCTCAGAGCCTGCTGCTCTGGCATCAGGGCAAAGCTGACAAGATTCACACAGCCAGCCAACAAATATATCGTCATTTTATAAAGGTGACCACTTGCACAAAGCTCTGGATGAAGAAAGGGAAACCGTCTGGAAGATGTTTTCACCATCTCAAACTGAGAAGATTCCAACACAGAGAAGTGCCACTCTGCTTTCCCTGCTGGAACAAAGCACTGTGGTTTCAAGGTTCAAGGCTGTCTTCCATGGATGGGAAGAAGCTAAAAAAATGTTTTTAAATGAAAAATGGTGTTCTCTTAGGTAGAACCATTTGCTTTCTAATGCTGAGGCTCATATGATCTTTAAATAGCACACCAGATCGCCTCATTATGTAATGCATGTATTTTCATCCTCAAGAAAAATGTGTGCTATCCCTTTACCCACCTTGCATTTTATAGATAAGATAGCTTGAGTGCTTGTAAAATTGATGGGCTGCAGCTCTTAGCTCTGCCCTTATGCTGTTGAATAGAGCCCCTGGTTACTATCACTAGATCTATGGGTGGACCAGCCATTCTTCCGCAGCAGGGAGTGGGCTGCTCAAAGCACCAAGAACCATTTAAACTTTTGTCCATCTCTGTTTTACACACAAAGAGTTTCCTGGAAACATGGCTGCACTCCAAGGATTTCACAGAGTAGAATGCCTTCTAGAACTCCAATTTTCCAATCACTGCAATCACATAAGAAAGTAGACTTGAACTCAGACTCTTGAATCTAAATGTGTTCAAATCCTGACTCTGCCATTTACTAGCTGTGTGACTTTGGGAAAGTTGACTCATGTCCCCAAGCTTCAGTTTCTTCATCTACAAAATGGGATGTATTACCATCCCAAGTTATAAATTACCCCCAAACTTAGTAACTTAAAACAATATTTATTATCTCCATTTCTGAGGGTCAGAAATCCTGATGGAGCTTAGCTGAGTCCACTAGCTCTGGGTCTCACGAGGCTGCAGTCATCTCAAGGCCCAGTTGGGATGGGTCTGCTCTCAGCTCATTCACATCATTGTTGACAGAACTCAGTAGCTCACAGGCTTTAGTCTAAGGTCTTAGATCCTCATGAGCTAGTGAATGAAACCTCCCTCAGTGCCTTGCCATGAGGTTCTCTCCACAAAGCATCTCAAAATATGGCGGCTTACATCATCAGAGCAATCAAGCAAGAGGGCAGGCCAGCAAGAGAGAGACTGCTGGCCAGACAGAAGTCAGTCACTTGTAATCTAATCACAGAACTGATACCCATCACTTTTGTCACATTCTACTACCAAGAAGCAAGACATTAGGTCCTTCCCACACTGAAGGAGAGAGGATTACACAAGAATATGGACACCAAGAATTATTATTTCTTAGGAAATAATAATAATACCTCCTTGCAGGTTTCACTTAAAGATTAAATGAGAGGGCCTCCTGGGTGGCTCAGTCAGATTGAGCCTCCAGCTTCTGCTCAGGGCATGATCTCATGATTCATGGGTTCCACAGCCACATCAGACTCTGCACTGACAGCTCAGAGCCTAGAGCCTGCTTCAGAGTCTGTGTCTCCCTCTCTCTCTGCCCCTCCCCTGAATGTGCACACACACACTCTCTCTCTCAAAAATAAATAAATAATAAAGATTAAATGAGAGACAGGCACCTAGGTGGTTCAGTCAGTT